TTTCTTGTCTTTTCTAATGTCCTCTCTCTTATTCTTCACTTCTTTCACCAAATTCACCTCAAAACCTGCACAAAAACACTTAAATCAAGCATAAACCTGTCCAGCTCTCTTATTTCTGAAAATATAAACAAAAGGCATGATTTCAAGCTAGTTTCTAAGTCTAAAGGTTGCTTTTAGTATCAACTTTAAGCATGAAAATAACAGTTTTTCAACTGTTATCACCTAGGGTATAAAAATAACCTAATGGGCCTAATCCCGCTGAGCCCAATTGAACCAAAATGGTCCACCCAAGTCTGCAGCAGTTGCGCTCAGCAGTAATTACCGCTGAGCGGCATTTGCGGCATCAACTCTCCGTCTCCCTAGCTTACCCTAGGTGTCTTATACTCATGCCTCTCACTCACCCAATGCATTTAAGTTCTCACAACACTTAAACATGCAATCCCTATAATGCATCTTAAGCAGAATCAAAACAAACAAACAAAGATAAAGTCAATCAACTGGGTTGCCTCCCAAGTAGCGCTTGTTTAACGCCACAAGCTTGACCCAAAATCCTCCACCACCCTTCAGTAAGTGCAAATCTTTCTTACCAACACCCATCAGTAGGTGTAAACAAACCTAGTATCCTTAAGTAGATACTCAACCACCTAGCATGCATCAGCAGATGCTATACCATAAAATCTAAAACCAACATAAATCAATGTCCCAAAGTTTATAAAATTACATCACCAAAATAAAAAAATAAAGGAAATTAATGTTCTCAAATCACTAAGGTGCCTCCAAGTAAACGCTTTTTTAACGTCATTAGCTTGACCCAATAAAGCTCAAGTTCCATCTTCAATGTTGGTGTTCAAATTTATTTCATCACACCAAATAATCAAATACTTAAGGTCCAACTTTTTGACTCTCCTTGAATATGGAGCTTCAATCTCTATCACTTCATTCTCTTTATAGTCTTTCACAACCCACAACTTGTTCTTGAATCTTACTAGTGTACCAAGTTTGAGTTGTGCCTTCATCAAGTCATCATGAACCTTCCTTTCTTTGCCATATTTTTCTTCTTCCCTAACCTGTGAGAAGAAACAATTTTTACCTTTGAAGACCGGCTTTGTAGCTTTTGAACTAGTCTAGGGTGTATCCTTACATGTAGCTTTATGACTAGCTTCCTTCTCTTGAATCTGTTGCTCTTATTTGAAGACATTAAAGATCACCTTTTCTCCCCAGTCTTGAAGCCTATCATCCCATCATCCACATTGATAATTACTTTTGCCGTTTTCATAAATGGTATTCCAAGAATGATTGGGACCTTCTCATCCTCCTTCATGTCCATCAACACAAAATCTACCAGGAATTTTAGTTTGTCTATGCAAACCACCACATCTTCCGCCACACCATAGGGTTTCTTGGAAGATCCATCAGCCTTTAGCAAAGTCACCTTTGTTGGTTTGACTTCAAGATCACCAATCCTTTTGAGCAGAGATAAAGGCATCAAATTAATACTTGACCCTAAATCAATTAGGCTTTCCTTATATTCGCCTTCCCAATGACGCAAGGAATAGTAAAACTTCTTGGATCTTTCACTTTTGGAGGAAGTGGCTTCTTCTCAATAACACTACAATCTCTCTTTTCATCTAGATATCTCTTCTTTGTGGAGACTTGCTTCATGTGCTTTGCATAAGTTGGAATTTGTTGAAGTGCTTCATTCAAAGGTATAGTAATCTCCAATTGCCCAAAGATATCTTTAAAGTGCCCATATTGTCTCTCTTTTTCAATCTTTTCACTTCCCTTAGGATAAGGAAGAATTTTTTTCATTTTCTCAATTTTTTTCTCTCCCCTCTTCTTATCTTTCCCTTTTCTCTCATCCTCACATATTATCTCTTCTTTTCTCTCCATTCTCTCTTTTCTCTCTTCTTTTTCTTCTTTTGTTTCTAACTCAACTCTCTCTTTCTTTTCATCCACCCTCTCAACATCTGCACTTACAATAGCTTTACACTCTTCCTTAGTGTTAACCTCATTATTAGCCCTAAAACTCTTGTCAGACATATCTTCCAGCTTCTTAGCCATTTGACCAACCTGTATCTCCAAATTTCTAATTACAACATTTGACCAATCTGTATCTCCAAATTTCTAATTGCAGCTTCAATGCTTTTATGGTTGGAAATAGTCACCTGAATAAATTGCTGAAGAGTTTCTTCAAGCTTTCATGATTTCTCATTCAATGCAGATACTTGTTGCCATATTGATGGTTGCTGCTGTGGTCTATTGAATTGTCCTGTTTGTCCAGCTTGTCCATTCTGACCTTGACCCATGCTTGGGTGAGGTTTCCACCATTGGTTAAAGTTACCTTGGCGGTATGCAAATTGATTGGCCATGAAATTTACGTCTTCTAAAGCCTCCACTGGAAAAGCACATTGACCATTTATATGGTGACCACCACATAGTTCACAAAGTTGTTGTTGAACCTATGCAACATTCTTTAGCTCCTTTGGCAACTGACAAAGTGTTTTTGTCAAATTCTCCAACTATTGAGTTATAATTTTGTTCTACGCAAGCAAGACATCATTTGATTGCAATTGTAGAACTCCCTTCTGTTGAATTGGAGCTCCTCTATCATTATGCAACTCATTATCATTAGTAGCCATATTGTCAATCAATTCAGTGGCTTCCTTTAAAGTCTTGCATTTAATATTACCTCCAACTGACGCATCTAGCATCAACTTGGTTTGTGAACCAAGACCTCTAAGGAAAAGAATGACATTTGTTGCTTCGTCAAAGCCATGAGTGGGCGTCTTTCTAAACAAGCTCTTGTAGTTATCCTAGGCTTGACCTAGCGTCTCCTCCATGCCTTATCTAAAAGAAGAAATCTCTTACTTCCTTTTGCTGATTTTGGATTGTGGGAAGTACTTGTTTAGGAACTTTGAAACCACGACTTCCCATTCAACAAAGCTACCTTCCAGAAAAGAATTCAACCATAACTTAGCATTGCCTTCAAATGAGAAAGGAAACAAACTAAGCTTTATCGCTTCATCCGGCACACCATTGATCTTTACAGTGTTGCAAATCTCGTTAAATGTGGTGAGATGCTAATATGGACTTTCATGTGATAGCCCATTAAATTGGTTGCTCTTTACCAATTGTATCAATGCCGGTTTCACCTCCATGTTTGCAGCATTGACCCTCGGCCTAACAATGCTATTAAAGTGATGAGGGCCAACAATATTGGTATAATCCGCCAGAGTCCGTCTAACATTGTTCTCTTCGGCCATCTCTTCAATGCTCTGGTTAGATCTTTGTGGTGAGGGTTGTTGATAACGATTGAAAAATCGTTATTTTTATACTTAATTTTGATATTAAAAACACCCTTTTTGACTTAGAAGCTTGCTTGAACTCATATTTTTGCTTTAGTTTTGTGAATAAGAGAGCTGAAGGTGAATTTAATGGTTTTGTGCTAGATTCCTCTGATTTTGTAGGTTATTGGAATGCTTTGAAAGAAGAATTAAAGTACCGAATGGTTGGATTGCAGAAAAGTCAACCAAAAACCAGAAAAGTCAACCAAAAACCAGAAAAGTCAACCAGTCAACTAGAAAAGTCAATTAATCAACCAGAATGCACTAGAGTGTTAGGTGATTGACTATCTACTGAAGGATACTATGCTATCAGATACTTACTGATGAGTGTTGATGAAAAGGATTTGCATCTATTGATGGATGCGAGGCTATTGAGTATCTACTAAAGGATACTATGTTATCAGACACTATTTGATGAGTGTTGATGAAAATGATTTGAATCTACTGATGGATGTTAGTGGAAGAGTATCTACTGAAGGATACTATGTTTGTATACACCTACTGATGGGTGTTGGTGATAAAGGTATGTGTCTACTAAAGGATGCTGAAGGATTTTGGGTCAGGCTCGTGACGTTAAACAAGCGCTACCTGGGAGGCACTCTAGTTTTCTAAACTTGTCTTTTTATTTTTGTGAACTTTAATTTACTTCTGTTTCTAGAATAAGTTATGATGTACTTGGCTTAAAATTTAATTTGTGATGCAATGGTTTGATGATGATGTTATGTTTGTGATGAATGTTGCTTTATGATGCTAATTATATTAATTGATGTTGAGATGATGCATGATGCTAATAACACAGGTGGTTTCTCATAATATTGTGAAACAGATGCATGATGAATTGTGATTATGATTATGATACTGAATAGGATGTTTATCTAAATGTTGGAACTTGAGTTAACCTGTGAGAGATTGGGCTCCAGAATTTTTGATTGATTGAATAATATTGCTTTGGAAGCATGATTAATTTTGCCTAATTTTCTATGATTGAACCACTTGCTTGCTTGTTACAAATGATCAAGGCCATGTTTTTCCTTCTCCCTTAGAGCCAATGTTTATAGGTGAACTCAATAAGGATCAATGTTTTGTGGTAATGGAGAATGGTTCAAGTTTGGGGTGGTGAGAAACCGGAAAGAACTTTGTGAAATTAATTAAAAAGCATTGGGCAAAAGCAAAATGCAAAGGAGAAGAAAAGAAAGAAAAGAAAGAAAAGAAAGAAAAGAAAGAAAAGAAAATGTGAAGCTCAATGCAATTAAAGTTTGGGAATGAGTTGAATATTGGTTGCTCACATAAAAGAAGAAAGAGAATTGAGATTTAATGTTTTCTAGTATCAGTATTTTGTTTCAGCCAAGTTACATTTTGCTTGAGGACAAGTAAAGTTTCAAGTTTGGGGTTGTGATAACAGTTGAAAAACCGATATTTTTATACTTAATTTTGATATTAAAAACACCCTTTTTGACTTAGAAGCTTGCTTGAACTCATGTTTTTGCTTTAGTTTTGTGAATAAGAGAGTTGAAGGTGAATTTAATGGTTTTGTCCTAGATTATTTTGATTTTGTAGGTTATTGGAATGATTTGAAAGAAGGGTTAAAGTACCGAATGGTTGGAATACATAAAAGTCAACCAGAAACCAGAAAAGTCAACCAGTCAACCAGAAAAGTCAACCAGTCAACCAGAATGCAGAAAAGTCAACCAGAATGCAAAAGAAGTTGCGTTGAGCGGTAATTACCGTTGAGCGACAATGTTGAAGTGCCGAAATCACCGCCGAGGGCTAAAAATGCAGCTAAGCTTTATTATGAAGAGTCGCACTTACCGCTAAGCGACAAAAGTGCTGCTGAGCGCCATTTTTATGGGCTTGGACCTGTTTTCTATTATTTCTATGAGCTTCGACTTGTTTTCTGTTATTTTTATGTTCTATTTAAGGACTTGCACGTCCTACGGATTGTATCTTTTGATGGCTTGAGCACAAAAACACAGTTTTCACCCCTTAGGGGTAGATTTGGGGATGTGGGAGTCTCCTCTTCTCTTTCTAGGGTTTTTCTATCTCTTCCATTCTTTCATTCCATTGTTCATCTAGTTTCTCCATGATAATGGAAAGCTAAACCTTATTTTTTGTTGGGAAAGATGTAACCTCTTAAACTCTCATGTATTGAATTGATTCTTGATTATATATGCTTTACTTCATTAATTGTTAGGGTTTTTCCTCTGCACTCTATGCATACTTTGTTTAACTCATTCGATTTCATGATCATTGATTTTGTCGATATGAACACATATGAGAAAATCAAGATATGGGGAAATTCTCCCAAAAACAGTATTGTCTAGACATTGAAAACATTAATATTATAAAAAAAATATCGAGATAAGAACATCAATAATTGTTGTAAAGATCATTTGCTAATGTTATAAAAAGTAATATATGAAACAAAGCAAAGGTGAAAATGTGATTAACCTTATGATTTATATATTAATTAAACTATTAATTTATAAGTTGTATAATTAATTTTTTTACATAAATGATAAAATTAAAATTATATATATATATATATATATATATATATATTATATTTATAATGATATAATAAATTATAATAAATTTATTTCATTAATTAAAATATAAATAAAAATTATATAAGTCAATACATTAATTTATATAATAAAATTTATAAATTGTATACTTAAATGAGAAAGTTAAATATTAAAATTGTACATTTGCAAAATTATATAAATATGTAAATCATAAAAGTTAGAAAAATTTAATAATATTTATAAATAGATCATATGATTTTTACAATAAAACTTGATCTAGATTTTATAAAATTTAGAAAGTATAAACTTTACATTACATAATACATTTATATTGCATTAAAATAGTACAGTTTTATAAAAGCTTGTGAAAGTAATACTTTTATAAAATAATTTTTCAGCTAGTTTAAATAATGTTTTTGTTATTAAAATTGTTTCTATAAGGCATAGGTTAATGATTGTGATGGGAGAGAGACTAAACGACAAATAGAAATATTTTTACCTCAACTTATTACACAGAGCGTAAATAGCCACAGGGGAAACTCGTTCCGGTCTCTGATTGCATCCCTAAAAGGAAGCAGGTCGTTAGAGTTTATAATTTTCACTCTGCAGCCACCCATGGCATCCTTTTCTGCCGCCATAGCTAACTTCTCCAGCATTTCGCCTACTCAGTTATCGCTCTACCATCGCCATAGGCTTTTCCAATCTCAATGCCGCCCCTTCTTCCTCTCGCCCTCTTCCCATTTCCTTCTGTATGTTCCTTTTCAACGACTAGGTTTATCGAATCAACTCAGTTTCCTCTTATTGTTTTCACACTTGATGTTGCAAAAAATTATTCCAATGGTGGAAACACCCACCTAGTTTTTATGCTGTTCAACTTGAGCATTCCAGAATTGTATGATGCGACTTTGCTGTTTTTTTATAGTTTTTTTATTTATCTGAAAATGAAAGAATTAGAGAAGAGAGAGTATTAACTTGATGTGATTAATAATAAGCTTATTAGTTGAATTGATAATTTAAGGTTATACTTCTGCAGTGTGAATATTTGAATATCAAGAGGAAATTAACAAGTTACCCTGCTCAATAATATGTTAAATGCTTGGATGTTCTACATACGTCTTTTTGTTTTTTATCCTATGCTGAGCATATATTATTCTTTGAATTGTGGGAGTATGCAATCTTTTGAGTGATATTTCTTCATGGTATTAGTTGGATTTTTATGTTTTGTTATGTACTGACATGGTTTTCCTACCAGGAAGGATCTTACTTTGCCACGGGGAAGAAAAACACCAGGCACCGTGATATGCGCTTCGTTTACTGGTTGAAATTTTTATGATAGAACTGTCCTTTTTGTTTTGAAACAGGCATTTGCAAATGTTTTTTATTTTTTTCCCTAGCAGATGTTACATCAAATGTGTCTTTGGAGGAAAAGCTACCTCCCAAAGGAGAAACTTGGTCTGTGCACAAATTTGGTGGAACCTGTGTGGGAACCTCACAAAGGATAAAGAATGTTTCAGAAATAATTCTTAAAGATGATTCTGAGAGAAAATTAGTGATTGTCTCTGCTATGTCGAAGGTGACAGATATGATGTATGCCCTTATCCAAAAGGCTCAATCACGCGACGAGTCTTATATATCTTCATTGGATGCTGTTTTGGAGAAGCATAGTGCAACTGCACATGACATTCTTGAGGGAGATAGTCTTGCTAGTTTCTTGTCTAAGTTGCACAATGATATTAGTAACCTGAAGGCGATGCTTCGTGCAATATACATAGGTTATAGTCATAAACTCTCGCTCTTTAATAGCCTTTTCCATCTGTATATGTGGCACTAAATTTGTATTAATTTTTGGTGTTTATTTGTTTCTTTCATTTTCTTTTTTCATTTGTGTCAATGGATGTTGATAAAAAAGTTCTTAATATCATCACCGCCACCATGACAATATTAGCCTTGTCACATTTGGTGAAGTTGGTTAAAGAATCATATGATGACATTAGATGTAATAACAAATCAAATTCTCAAGGATATTATTCACCATGAAATTTCTTTTAAAAATTTTCTTCACTTACTTTTGGCCTCCCTTTAAAATTGCAATGCATATATCCTTTTGCTCCTAGTCAAGTCATATTTGCTGGATTACAATGTTTGTGTCAAGATTAGGTTTAAACTCTTCTTCATTCCTTAGTAAAAACATTGTCTTCTTATTGTTGTTCAAGACTAGATTACCAAGGATTGAAGGATGGCCTTTGATGTATGCCGTGTCTATCCAAATGGAGAAGTCCTTGTTTCTAGTATTTTCCACACTAGTAGTTGTTACCCCATTATACATGTCAACATTTCACTTCTTTGCGCTCATGATATGCTTTTTTCTTTTTCAGGTAAATAAACATCTTCTTGGCATAAATCGAAATTAACTATTCTCAAATCTAATAATTTCTTTTATTTATGCTCTTTCACCTTTCACATAATTTTGTAGTGTGATATCTCTTTAAACACCTTTTCCACAATGAACGTTTTTAGTTTTCCATTCATTGTGGAAAAAGTGTCATCATTACTTAAATGAATTTGAGCTGAGGAGCTGCATTTTTGGCTTAACATTCTTATTATCTTGCAGCTGGTCATGCAACAGAGTCCTTTACGGATTTTGTTGTGGGACATGGGGAATTATGGTCTGCTCAGATGTTGTCTCTAGTTATTAGAAAGGTATGATGTTGTAATTAGAAAGATATGCTTATCCCCTTTATCTAAATTTAGCTTATTGCAACTTGCTTGTCTTATGGTTCTATAGAAAGGGATCGATTGCAAATGGATGGATACAAGGGATGTCATTATTGTAAATCCTTCTGGTTCTAATCAAGTTGATCCTGACTATTTGGAGTCTGAGCAAAGACTTGAAAAATGGTACTCTTTGAATCCATGTAAGGTAATCATTGCAACTGGATTCATTGCAAGCACACCTCAAAACATTCCTACCACATTGAAGAGAGATGGAAGTGACTTCTCAGCAGCAATTATGGGTGCTCTATTTAGGGCTCGTCAAGTCACAATTTGGACAGATGTGGATGGTGTGTATAGTGCTGATCCTAGAAAAGGTTTGTGATGCTTCTTACTTTTTTGTATGAGTTGAGGATTAAATGCATTGTGAATTGATTTATAGTTACCAGATGGAGTTCTAGCTGACATGTTGAAGATGCTTTTGTCTTATTATTTGAGTGCTAGAACATAATGTTTTTGACTAAAATATAAACCATGACATCTTCTGCAGTTAGCGAGGCTGTGATTTTGAAGACATTGTCTTATCAAGAGGCATGGGAAATGGTTAGTTGAAAACTGTAGAGGCTTAGTGCTTCTTTGACTCATAAAAGTTAAGGAGATTAACTTTGAATATGTCTGTTGTACAGTCTTATTTTGGTGCAAATGTCTTGCATCCCCGCACAATTATTCCTGTGATGAGATATGGTATACCCATTATGATAAGGAACATTTTCAACCTTTCTGCTCCTGGAACAAAGATCTGCCACCCTTCTGTTAATGACAATGAAGATGGGCAGAACCTGCAAAATTATGTCAAAGGATTTGCAACCATAGACAACTTGGCACTCGTAAATGTCGAGGGGTGAGTTATTCATTAATTGCAGTTGTATTACATGATCAATAATAGTTGGCAGTTTTCGGTTGGCAGTTTTCGCTGCTTAATTGTTTCTTATTAATTTAAGGTTTTATGTAACCAGTCATAGATTGCTATGAGGTTTTCTCTAATGCATTTTTTGCAGAACTGGAATGGCTGGTGTTCCAGGTACAGCCAGTGCTATTTTTGGTGCAGTAAAAGATGTTGGAGCTAATGTTATAATGATATCTCAGGTGCACTTATAACTTCTATGCAACTGGTCTCGTTATCCTCATTGTATATAAGAAATTGCATTCATCATTAACAATAATTGTGTAGGCTAGTAGTGAGCATTCCGTTTGCTTTGCTGTTCCTGAGAAAGAAGTAAAAGCTGTTGCCGAGGCATTGCAATCAAGATTTCGACAAGCTTTGGATAACGGGCGTCTTTCTCAGGTGCTAGATCCAACTCTTTTAATATAAAAATGCATGTTTCTGTTCAACTGACCTCACTCACTTCACTTGAGTGATGTCAGACCGAAGATTTCTCATTTTACATTTTGTAGATTTTGAAATGACATGACCAAATTGGAGTGCTATTTTCTTAATTTGTTTAAGAGGATAAAGACTGAAGTGTCATTTTCTTTTGTATATGATTTGTTTTCATTGTTGTGTAAGTGTTTTTATATCCGCATGCTATGGCTAAAATATACAAGGTACATGCTGGAAGTCTTACATCGACTATAGATAAGGCCAATTTAAAGTATATAGGTGGGTGCAAACCTCACCTTACAAGTCGATTTTATGGGGTTGAGTCTATCTTAGCGATATTTGTTGTTTGTTGGACATATTGTTCCACCCGTTATCGGGCTGCTATCGGACCACCTATTAATGTCTAGTCTCACGCTCGAGATTTATATACCTCAGCGTGAAAGGGAGTGTGTTTGAAGTCCCAGATCGACTAGAGATAAGCCCAATTAAAATATATAGGTAGGTGCAAACCTCATCTTATAAGCTGGTTTTGTGGGGTTGAGTTAAACTTAAAGTCCACTTCTTGACTGTACATACCCCTCTTGAGTACTTTTTTCTTGCAAGCAACTTCAACTATCTCCAAGTACTTTTTGCTCTTCAACAATTGTCCTACCATTCAATGTTTGTAACAAGCTTGACTGATATGATACATATACTCTAGCTTCCGGGAACACTAAAGCTTTCTTTTTTCACTATTTACTTTATCCACTCCAACAATCGACTGGCTGACAAGATTCTCTTAATCGTATGATACATATGCTTCAACTTAAGGGGTAATGTTAGAGATGTAATTTGATGATATTAGAGATGAAATTAAATATTACACTAAATAAAGAGATATGATATGATATGATTTGATAAGGAAGTATCTTATCAAATATTTCCCATTATTAAATTTTGATTTTATCCCTTATTAGTGTATCTATTCTTCATTGTAAATAAGAATACTCATGTGTGTACAAAACACAGCATTGTAATATACCAACTTATATAGGATATAATAGTGACAAAAATCAAAGAGATTCAGGGAAATCAAAGAAATAAAAAAACAAAACAAGATAGAGAGGATTTAGGGAAAGAGGAGAGATCAAGGAATATGTTCACTGCATTTGTACATTGAATCTAGGTTTAGCTGTCTAGAATACGACAACCAACCTTTTATGTGGGCAGCTACCAAACAATTATGAGCTCTCCACATTTTATTGTTACCTCAATCAATCAACAACTAGATTTTGTGTTCAATTTCAATCAATTAGGTACTCTTGATTGCATCTTTAGCATTGAAGTTCACCAACAATCTGATGGCACTCTACTACTCACTCAAAGCAAGTATGTTCCCAGCCTCTTAACCAAGGTAACTATGCTTGATGCCAACCCATCTCTTTTCCAATGACTTAGGTTTGCACATTGTTCAACTCTAGTTACTACTAATTGTCAGTTAGTTAGTTAGTTAGAATCATTTCAGGTTCCCTTAAACTTTTCATTCATTTCAACGTTATACATATATAGTTATACTTTTCTGAGTCCTTTCTCTGAGTTCTATTATTAACTAGGGTGTGGTTAGTTGGATATTAAATGCAATACTAAAAGTTGTTGGTAGGATATTAAATGTATTACTAGAAGTTGTTAGAAGGTTCTAGAGATCTCATGTAATTATTAATTTAGTGTTTGAGTTCTCTCTCTATATAAAAGTTAATGTAAAGTTTCAAATGAATCAATTGAATAAAATGTTCTTTCTTTCAAATTAATTCTTTCAAGTTGGTATTAGAGCTCTCGATCTTAGGAGTCCTGCATTCGCATTTCTTCTTTACAGTCTTTTTTACGGTTCCTTTTAGGGTTTCCTGAAGTGCACCCATTTTCTTTAAATATTAGGTTTGCTTGAAGTTCACCCAACTTTTGGTTCTTTCTTTTGCTTTTCGCTAGAGCTATTGTTGGACCTTTCATTGGACCTTCGTCGGAACTTCGTCAAAATTGTTGCCGGAGTCGTTGCCATGCTTTCTTTTTTGTTGGAGATTCTGCCATTGCCATCATCAAAATTGTCTTTGTCGCCGCCTATAGCCTCATTCATAACCAATTTTTGTCTTATTGTTCTCTTTTAATTAAGAGGTGGCTAAGGAATCTTATTATTTACTTATGCATGGAAGCTCCACCGAACATTGTTGAACATCTAACTTCAAAGATACATGCATTACATGCTGAAATTGAATGTTTGAAATCTCTCATGGATTCTACTAGTAAGTCACCTTCTGGCACGTGTTGTCTAGCTATGACTGGTAAGAACTTCAACTCATCTTTTAATTTTTCTAAAACTTTATGTAAGGACTCATGGGTTCTTGACTTTGATGCCACAAACAATATGACCCCTCATTCATCTCTTTTAACATCATATGTTTCTCTTTCTAGTAACCACAATACTGTTGCCAGTGGGACTCATATCCCAATAATTGGATGTGGTAACGTTTCCCTTTTGCCATCCCTCAACCTTAAAGATGTTCTTTATGTTCCAAACCTTTCCAATAATCTTATTTTTGTTAAAAAACTTACCCATGACCTAAAGTGTTCTATAACCTTCTTTCCTACTCATTGTGTTTTTTAGGTTCTTGCCACGTGGAGGATGATTGGAACTGTTAAGGAATAGGGAAGGTTGTATTGTTTTAACAACTTGGGAACTAAAGATAGTATTAGAACACAAACAAGTACCTCTTGTCTCCAATCTTGTACTACTTTTGAGTCCTCTCAAATTTGGTTTCTTCATTGTCGTCTAGGACATTCCTCCTTTCTTGTTGTAAAGTTCATGTTCCCTTCCTTATTGTCCAAAGAGACTGTTGAGTCATTTAAATGTGATGTATGTCAACTTGCAAAACATCATCGTGCCACATATCCTCCTAGTAACACAAAGAGTGTCCATCCATTTGATTTAGTTTATTCTGACGTTTGGGGGCCTACATGAAACTATAGTATTTGTAGTGCTAAATGGTTTGTCACATTTATTGATGATTGTACTTGATAAGATTTAGAGGGTTTATGAAAGGAGGAAAGGAGTTAAAAATAAAACATAATAGCTGGGAGGTTTGTTAGGTTGTTAGGAAGCAGGTTGATTGTCTTTTCAGGTTGGTTGTCTATTCAGAGTAGGGGTAGTCTTTAAAATGGGAAAGGGATGTCTGCGGGCAGACATGTTGTTTTGATTATGTCTTAGTGATAGGACCATAGTATTCCTGTGTGAAGGGAGAAGGCTCCCTTGTAAGTGTTCAACTTGTATTCTTTGTCTACAAGAATAATAATACAAGCCTGTTTCAGTTTTCTGTGTTTGGTGTGCCTTGTGTGTGTTTTGGATTTCTTGTTCCACGAAATCTGTTAGTACTCGTTTTACATAAATTTTCCTCATGAAAGAAAAAACTCAAGTTTTTACCTTATTTGTCAAATTCTTTCATATGGTAAAACACACTTTGGGAACTAAATTAAACACTTACATTTTGATAATGGGAGGGAATATGCAAATCATGATATGTTCAAATTCCTTCCCGAAAATGATGTGGTTCATGAATTTACTTGTGTGCATACACCCCAACAAAATGACATTGTTGAAAGAAAAAAATGTCCCTAGATCTTATTGGGGAGAGGCTATTCTTACTGCAACATATCTTATTAATGAATTACCCTCTCGAGTTCTAGATAGTCTAAGTCCTATTGAGTTCATATCTTCCTTCTTTCCATCGATTCCTTTTCTCTCTAGTCTTCATAGTCAAGTGTTTGGATGTCCTGTGTTTGTCCACATTCATAGTCAATTTCGTGGAGAGATAGATCCTAGAGCTATTAAATGTATATTTGTTGGCTATGCATCTAGGAAAATTGAAGTACTTCCTTGGGATAGAAGTAGCTTATTCGAAGAAGGCATCTTTATCTCCCAAATAAAGTATTATATTGATCTTCTCAATGAACCAACTATGATTGCTTGCAAGACCACTGTAGTTCCTATAGAGCAAAACCATAGAATTGGGAGTGATAAAGGTAGTTCTAATGTGAATAAAGGCCAATGTCAAAGACTTGTCGGGAAGCTTATTTACTTAGCTCACATCAGACTAGACATAGCCTATGTTGTGAGTATTGTTATTCAGTGAATGCATGATCCAAGGGAGAGCATTTACAAGCTGTAAACAAAATCCTTCAATATTTGAAGAAAAGTCCAGGAAGGGGATTATTGTTTGAGATGAAAAATTAAAAATGGTAGTGTATATACTGATGTAGATTATGTAGGTTCTGTCATAGATAGGAAGTTTGCCTTAGGATATTGTATGTTCTTGTGTGGAAATTTTGTGACTTGGAGAAGTAAGAAACACAATGTTGTTGCAAGTTCTAGTGCAGAGGTTGAATTTCGAGCTATGACACAAGGGGTGTGTGAATTGTTATGGATGAGAATTATTCTAAATGATCTTAAAGTAGCATGTTAAGAACTAATGGTCCTTTATTGTGATAACAAGTAAGCTATTAGCATTTTGACATTTTATTAAAAAGAAACTGGATAGTGGCCATATCACTACTTCTTACGTTCCATCTGGACTTCAGTTAGCAGATCTATTTACAAAAGGTCTTCCCACTGAACGATTTCATGATCTCACATGCAAGTTCACAAGGATAAATATCCATTCATGAGCTTGAGGGGGAGTTGTTAGGAAGTTAAAAGTTTATGTAAGAAGAAATAAAAGAGGAGGGAATTAAAAGGAGGGAAATGTGGTTAGTTTGTTAGGGGGGAGAGAGAGTATAAATAAAGCTGAGTTGGTTGAGGAAAAGGGAGATAATTTTCTTTTGAGTATAGATGATAGGATCTAAGGTAAGAGGATAGAAGGCGGGAAAATGAGAGAGCGGTTAGGAAAGGCGGGATGAGAGATCTTATGTTCTATTCATTGTTAGAAGGCAGCTAGTCATTTTCTTTCGTATAGACAGGTCTTGGACCTTGTAAGGGGGGTTAGGCTTTCGTAAGATGGAGGGAGGTTATGCTCCCAGATACTGATTGTACGCTACTTTTGTTGATAAGAATACAGATAATTCATTCTTTTCGAATCGTTTTCTTGCTGTGATTGTGTGAGTGAGTTGTCATCGTTAGGTTTCATACTCAAGAACCTAACAATAGACTTGACATATTTTCTAGTGGAGGAAGGGAGGCTTCCTTGGGTGGGGATACTTACATGTATTTTCTTCTTTCTATACATTATAGAGTTAATAAAATACATACATATACTTTCATCTTTTGTTGTTTAAGAGTTGTGTGAGAAGAGAGTGATTTGTCTTGGTTCCCTGAGTAAAGGAACCTAACAGCTTTGGTCCGACCTGCCGGATCTGTTGCGGAGGGAAGAAGAATGGAGGGACGAGTGATGGCGA